CCTCTCTCCCTCCCTCCCTCCCTCTTCCCCCATATATATGTATATATATATATTTTTTTCCATTTTTCCCCCCAGTTTTTACTCAGGGAAGTGTTGGCACCCATCTCTCAGTCTTCAGTACCGCAACCCTGTCCATTCATTTTGGCCCAGTGCCTAGAGGCACTTAGTACAGAATCAGTTTAAGCTAAACCCCTCACTGGCTGTTTTGGGGACCACTCTGATGATGCACATTTGGGCTGCAGCTTTGGAGAGCTTTGGAGAGGACCAGTGTTCCCCCAACACATCTTCTCTGTTCACTCTAAGATGGTTTTCCCTGGCTCTTGGATTAGGGGAATGGTTTGATTCTGGTTTGTGCTGTCCTGAGGCTGTAGCCCTTAGAGTCCCACATTTGTGCAAAGGACTTTGATTAGATCCCCTTCGCTGTACTCTTAGCTTTGATTCTCCCACCTCATGAGACCTATAAACTGCAATTCAATTTCACCAGGTTCAGCAAATGCCCTTGGAACTAAACTGGCTTCCTATATTCTTTCTCCCCCACCCTTTGGGTTTTTAGATTTGGCATAGTTCTTTTTTACTATCTTCATCTCTGGTACATTTAAAAATAATGAATCTTTTTTCTTCTTATATTCATTATTCTGTTTTCAATGGGAAGCCTTATTACATAAAATAAGGAAACTCTCCACCACCCTGTGCTTGTAATGCCTTTTACACCAGCGGGGAGGATAAATGTACTCCTGTCTACACCTGAGTATCAGTGAAGTCACTGTCCTTTGAAAGCTGTAGGGCTCCAGAGAGGTCCCATTGTCACTGATTTTTTCCAGGCCATCTGTCTACACTCAGTAGGCTCGGTGGATTCCTGTTCTTCCGCCAGCCTTTTAAATGTTAGTGCTCCCCTGTTGTCTATTAGTCTACTTTTTAGAAATAAATATTTTTGTGGTTTTTAAAAATTAATTGTATTGAGAAACAGCAATGAGACAGTTTCAAAACCGATTAGTAGGATAGTTTCAATAATTAATACATTGCGTATTGTTATCTTCTTAGCGGTTATTCATAAACAAGATGCAGACATGATATCCTGTCCAAATACTATTAGTACAAATCTCTTCTCATTGAATTAAGAGAAAGTAGCTGTATATCTATCCTATTTCGTATATACAGATACAAAATGGTCCTTCCTTTGTATTCCCTTTTTTGTTTAGTTTTATTAAAGATGGATATTCCATTGCCATTTAAATATTGTAGGTGCTTTTTTGTGGTTTTATCCTTCTCTAAGTATTTAGGTTCTTTTCGGCCTCTGTCTTCTTTTTCTTCAGCTAAACCCCTCACTGGGTAAGCGCAAGATCCCGAGTTCAGTGCCTGGTGTCTCTGTCTTCTGTGCTCTCAGCTCATACTGCTTCAACATACCGAATTCTCCACTCCCGCCCTTCCTTCTCTCCTTCCCTGGCCGTAGCTCCTGGCGCTGCTCCCCACCCACTGTGTCGCTGTCCAGGCGAGGCAGCTGGTAGCCGCATCAGCTGTGCCCCTCTCCCTCCACGCATGCATTCAGCCACAAGATGCTGTGAACTGTACTTCTTAAATGTTTCTCGAGCCTGCTCATTTCTGCCATTCTCGTGTTTGGTCTCAGTCTCTAGTTTTCCTTCCCAATGCCTGCTCCTTACCACTAGCCAGAGCGCTCTTTGTAAGCTGCACACATGACTGTCCCTGTCCAGATTTCTTCAGCAGCTTCCTGGTGTCCTAAGGACAAACTCGGTCAGAGTGCTCACAAGGCTTTCCCTGGCCCAGCTCTGCCCCCTTTTCCGTCTTGCTTTCTCTTCATTTTTCCCGTTTCATGATTCTTCTCCTCTGACCTCTTTATGTCTCTATTTCTGGGCTGTTATCTCTGTCTGGGTGAGTAGGGGAATCATATTTGACCTACACCATCTTTCGATTGTTCTGGTTCTTATTTTGAGCTGGTCTCTACCCCAGCTGATCCATAGGGCTGTTTCCTTTCTGCGATGGATCACACAAGTCATTGCTCTCCGGCCTCAGCCGCACCGAGCAGAGGAATTGGTACCCCTCTTCTTCACTTCAGTATTCCTAGTAATGCCTAAAAGAGCACTGCTTTTCTACCAGCTGTGTCCTAAGTCTTTTACGCAGGTAGTCTGGCAAGCCATGTCTCCTTCAGTCTGTGATTGCTTAGTAGGTTTTCTGTATCTTTTTTTTCGTTCTTGCCATACTGGGAATCAAACTTGGGACCTTGTGCTTGCCAGGCAGGCACTTATGTCACTGAGCTGTCTCCCCAGTCTCATTTTCTGTATCTTAACACAGCTGGCTGACATTTGAGCTCACATAAAATGTGCAAAGTTTCATCTTGTTTGCAATAACAATTACTTCAGTCTAAGACAAAGTCTTACAAGGCATACCATATAGATAGATAGAGGACCTGGCCCCGAGGTGGTCAGTACTAATTAGACGTCACACAGAGCAGGCAGAGTGGCTTGCCAGGCCTGTACTTCTTATGTGGCACACAAATTTCCAGTGCTGGATCCAAACACTGGGCATGTTCTTAGCTCCTACAAAACATTACTAATGTGACCTATCACATTTGAAGTGCCATTAGTTCCATTCGCTGAGAGAAGAGCCAAGGAGAACAGCACCCCCCTGAGCAGCTGGAAACCTTGCCTCTGCAGCCCTCCTGGATTCTGCTGCTTTATAGAGCTTCTCTTGCGAGACTCCAAGCAGGGCTCCGCGGGAAAGTTCCTGCAGCCAGTGGCTGGCTTCTCATGGGCCCCTCTTGTAAGACCTCTATTTTACAAACAAAACAAATTTTCCTATGTTATTATTAGGGCTGAAATTTAAAAAGGCAAAGGAGTAGAGCTTGTTACAGAGACAAGACAAAGCCAGCTTCTCTGCGGGGAAGCTTAAGGGTAACATTTTGCAGGCTTATCTCTGAGCTGTTTCATGTTTCATTGGTGTAAAATAAAGATTGGCCAACTGATTATGAATCAGCAGAGCTGCTGGGTACCATTCTGTTCTTGCTGTAAAGTAGAGATTAAAACTTTGGTGTGTAAAAGCTTCTTTCTCTAGGTAGGGGCACAAAAGGCATCTGTGACCAAAACGCCATGCCCCAAGGCCTCCTGCCTTCTTTGTTGGAGTATTCCTGCTCTTTAGGCATCTGGCCTATGCACATCTCCCTCCCCCCAGGGCTCTGAGATGTTTCCTCTGCTCTGTCCCCTTTTTTTCAGTCAGAGCTGTTATAGTTGTCATCCACAGAAATCTGTTTTACAGTATCAAAAAAGGGGGAATTCGTTTAAGAGCACTTAGAAGTCTCCCAGAGCCAAGCTGTGCATTTCCCCTCAGCTGGGCTGCCCATGTCTCTCTGGGCCCCATGGGAGGTAACACGGCGGCCCAGAGCATCCCCCTATGTTCTTGACCTAGCCACAAAGAGATGTCTTTTCTCCCTGTTCTTTTCTTCTTTCACAGAGGTTAGAAACCTAGCCAATTTCTTTTTAAGGGTTTATTGAGCTTAGGCATCACTTTCACAGAGTCCTCCCACCTGCTTCTGGTACAGTATGTGTTCCACTGTGTGCAGTGAGTCTGCCTGCATGAGACTGTGAGCATCCTGGGCTAGGGGTGGGTGCATGTGTTCTTGTCTTTGGGCTCCCAAAACATGACTACATGAACATATACTGAGAGGTTCATGAGTGCCTCTGAGCTCACCTATGCAATGTTCCTGACTTCATGGGAATGTTCCAGTACTAGGTTTTGAGTGTTGCCTGCCTCTGCTGAGCTCGCTGCAGCCCAGACAACAGCCACCTTGCCCCTTCCAACCGTTTCCTCCATGTGGGGCTTATATGTGAGGTTGAGAGAGGAAGTCAGTGGCAACCGAAGGAGCCTGGGTTTGGGAGTCAGGTAGAGCTAGGCTCTTAGTGTGAGCTCTGTCACCTCCTAGCTAGGAGGCTTAGTGCACACTAGGTTTAACTTTCCTGATCTGAACAGCAGATAAATACTACTACTCTCCCAACTAAGATTCTGAGACAACATATATCGAATGTATAACACAATGTCAGGAATGCAGTAGGCTCTGAGGAAATGTTCATTCTCCTTCTTGTTTTATGTGTGCTTGTGCCTAATAGATGCATATGTATTTGCACCTGTATGTCCATGGGTGCTTTTGTTTTGGTGTGTGTATGGGATGGAAAGTGAAAGTGTGACTTGAGTCATCTGCCTGTGTGTTTGAAAGCATTACCTGCTCCTCACCTACCTGGCAACGCAGGGATTACATTAGTTGTAGTACCTAAAGTGCAAGCACTTTCATGCAGCACATATGTACAATTCAAGACCTCATTATCTCAAATATCAGGCTCAGGTATTTGGGAAAACCTCATGCAGTTTAAGCTTAAAAAGAGATAACTCTGCCGGGTGTGGTGGCACATGCCTGTAATCTCAGCACTTGGGAGACTGAGCCAGGAGGATTGCTGTAAATCTGAAAACAGCCTGGGCTATATCGTAAGATTATGTATCAAAAAATAAAACAATAAAAAGAGAAGGCTCCAATACTTACTGACCTGTGTACATATCTTATGGAATCATGAGATACATTCTCTTCAGCCAGGGATGGAGCCCTTAAACCAGCCTATTTTACCCTCCGTGGGGGCAAAGCTGTGGCATTGCCTATTGGTAGTCCCATAGGTCCCAGTCCTCAGGGTGACACAGTGTACCCAGAAGTCTATCCTTAGCCCAAATTATGGAGTGCTCCCCCTAACTTGGCCCTGCTTCATTCGCCCTGGTACTGTCCATGAGCACCACAAGTTCTGCTCCTCTGCCCCAGCCAATCTCAAAGATGTGTAGAAACTTCATACAGAAAACTGAGAGTGGGCTTTGGGACAGAAGCCAGCGGGAAAGAATTGCACCTTCTCAATCCATCTTAAGGGACCTTTCTTGAGCACCAGAGTAGTTCTTCCTGGGGAGAAAAACTTGTCCCCTACCCTGCTCAGTAGCCAAGATCCTTGCACTCACAGGGAGGCGTCTGTCACATCGCTGACGAGCAAGAGGTACATCCTGCGGTTCCCAGCACTGGAGACTCTGATGCTGGACGACAACAAACTCTCCAACCCTAACTGTTTTGCCAGCCTGGCCGGGCTCAAGAGGTAAAGCTGTAAGCCTTCCCCTGCAAGGCTGTCCCTCCCCAACCCAGCCACATGCACACCGTGAGCGCTGCTGTGCTCCCCAGTGGGCCTGGCCTTGAGTCCTACTCCGCTACTTACTCTGCCCTGTGGCTCTGGTAAGTCATCGCACCCCCTGAGCTTATGAAAGTGGGGCATTCAGGAGAGAAAAGGGGTAGGGGGTTAGGGGGATGATCCCCAAGACAACAGCCTGACTCTGAGGGAAAAGACATGCCTTTAAAACAAAAAATCAGAATCAGAACAATACATTTATTTGCTGTGTTCTACCTATTTGAACAAGTTAAAGTAAAGAAAATTCTGGCATTTAAATGGTTATTTATTTATTTATTTATTTATTTATTTATTTTGTGGAACCAGGGATTGAACTCAGGCCCTTGCACTTGCCAGGGAAGCACTTACTTCACTGAGCCATCTCCCCGGCTCTAAATGGTTAAGTTTTAGATTCCCAGAAAATTTTCCCATAAATTCAGCAGCCATTTACTGAATACCACATTGTGCCACGTAATTTAAAGATTGTCTTATTTAATATTTGCAAGAACCTTAAAAGGTTAATAAATATCTCCATTCAGTGATAGGAATGTTGAAGCCCAGGTCCTACAAGACAAGTTCGAGTCCGATTCCACGTTCTTTCCCTGAGCTGCTTGGTAAATATCTCTGAGATATCTTCGCTGTTGTGATTCTCTATTCACTTTCCTTAACTGAAGACTGAAGAAATTAAGCCTGGATCAAAACAGGATTTTCCGGATCCCGTACCTACAGCAGGTTCCGCTCCGGGACGGGTCGGGGGACTGGGTTGGAGGCAAGCCAAGTCCTCGGAAAGAGCCCCAGTCCATGCTGCCGCCCAGGTCGTGGGTGTACGAGGCCTCCGATGACCAGCCCAACTATACTGTCCTGCCCATGAAAAAGGACGTCGACCGGACAGGTGAGCGGTGCCCCATGTTACAGATAGAAACAGTAGCGGGGCGGTGAGTAAACTTCTGCGAGTTTATCCTGAGAGTCTGCACTCCCCCGGGAACTGCTGCACTAACACTGAACTATTAGATGCTCCAAACGGGTTCTTCTCCGATGCCCTCAGGCATCTCGGTTCCTTCCATGCCATCCCTAGTGGGCTCAGCCCTCTGGGTGCTGCCCGCACTTGAGTCTCAGAGTCACACCCACATGGCAGCATCAGAGGAAAAAGAAAGGACTTGCTGCCTTTAATAGAGGAGTATAGGGCCTGGGAGATGCTCAGCGGTCTAAGCTCCTGCCTACCACCCACCGTGCCGGCCGCTGAAACTGGGCATGGTGGTGCACACCTGTAATCCCAGCGCTGGGGAGACAGGAGGATCATGATATGTCCTAGCTGCAGAGGGAGACCCTGTACCAAAGAAATAAATAAATAGTATATCTGAGTATATTCTGGATTATATATTGTTTGCTGATTTTTTTAAAGCTTTTATTTCAAATGGAGGAAAAGAACTTGCATTGGGTAAAATACTTAAATTTGTATGGTTATATGCCCTTTTGGCCATCACTCATAGTGCAGAACATTGTCAGAGTCCCCAGTGGCACTCTCCCAGTTAATACCTCCTCTAAGTATAGCCACCATTCTGACTTGGGTGACTGTCGTTTTGCCCAGTTTGAAACCACATGTATAGAATTATGCAAGCTGTGCACCTGTCTCCTTTAATTCACCTAATGTTGTGTCTGTGAGGTTCATTAACATTATACCTATGTCAGTAGCACAGTCATTGCTCTTCTTTATTCAATTTATATCACAATTTACTTGCCCTTTTGACTATTGATTGACACTCTGTTCTGTCTACTTTGGGGCTATTGTGGGCAAAGCTGTGTATCCTCTTACCCTTCAAACATAAGTACTCATTTCCTCTGGATATGCATTTGGAGTGGAATTACTGGATCATAAACTATGAGGGCACTTTGAGCATTAGTGGCTACCACTAAACAGTTTCCCAAAGTGGTTGCATACCCTAAAAATCCTTGCTAATTTAGTCTTTTTAATGTTAGATATTTTGGTGAGAATGTAATAATAGTATATTGTGGTTTTAACTTGGATTTAGCGAATGACTAATGATACTGAACACCTTTTCATATGATTGTTGGTTGCTTTACCATCTTCTTTGGAAAGTGACTATTCATCTTTTGTCTACATTTAAGTTCAATTTTCTGTCTTTTTCTTGTTAATTTGTAGGGATTCCTTATATATCCTGGACAGAAGTCCCAATATGTGGCTTGCTTATTCATAGTCTTAGCGGTAACTTTTGATTAACAGATATTCTATGACGTCTAATTCATTGATGTTTTATGATTGGTGCTTTTTCCTGTTTAAAAAAAATTTTTGGCACTGTGAAGGCTATGAAGATTATTTCACTGTATTTTTTTTCTAGAAGCTTGATTGTTTTAGTTTTTACATTTTTGGTTTATGATCACCTGGGATTAATTTTGGCATATTGTATTTTAAGTGGGGTGAAAGTTGGCTTTTTAATATGTATATTGTATTGGCCCAGCCAGAATTGAAAAGGCCGTATCCTTTCCCACTGAGTTATAGGGAAGGTATTGGGTGGTATTTGAAGGGAGCTGACATTTTTATAAATACTGAGTTTTTAGCACATGAAAATAATGTCTCCAACCAGTTTCTAGGTCTTTTAAAATGCTTCTCAACAATGCCTTGAATGGCGGGATCATGTATATGTTTCATAAGATTTATTCCTGGATAACTGATCTTTCTCATGCTACTGTCTGTGGTATCGATTTTATATATTTCATTTGGATTTATCTATAGCTAGTATATAGAAATATTGATCTCATATCTTGTAACCTTCCTAAATTCACTTACTATTTCTAATCAGTTGCAGGTTCTTTAGGATTATCAATGTTCAGGTTCATGACATCTAAAAATTCTGACCATTTTATCAGTTCTTTTCCATCTTAATACCTCTTATATCTCTTATTGCCTTATTTTGCTGCTTAAGATTTATAATATGATACTGAACAGAAGTGGTAATATGGACATCTTTGTGTTATTCCCAACCTCAAGAGTAAAGTTGTCAGCATTTCGAAAGTGAATTAGCTGTGCTTTTGCAGACACCTTTCATCATATTAAAGACATTTCCTTGTGTACCTAGTTTGCTAAGAGTTTTTATCATAAATGTGTGTTGGATTTCATCAGATGCTTTTTCTGTATCTATTGAGATTATCGTGTGATTTTCCTTCTTTAGCCTGTTAATGTGGTCAGTTACATTGCTTGATCTCCAGGATAAACTCACGCGGTCACATTGTATATCTCTGATTAAATTTGCTGGCATTTTGTGGAGGATTTTTGCAGCTGTGTTCAGGAGATAAGTTGGTATATTATTTCCCTTTTTGGTAATGTTATTGTCAGGATATACAATCAAGGTTATGTTTGCCTCATAAAATGAGTTCAGAAGGCTCATTTTTTCCTGTGTCCCCAGGAATATTTGAATAAGATTAATTACTATTAATCTTATTTCTTCTTTAAATTTTGGAAGAATTTACCTTAAAGCCACCAAAGCCTGGATTTTTCTGTGTTGGGAAAAACTTTGACTTATTAGAAGGTAGAAGCCAGAAAGAGCCCCTTGTAATTTAGAGCCAAAATTTAGGCTTCTGAGAAGGAAGTGCGTCTCTGCTGCTGGTATCTGGGAGCTCTGATGGCCTCCAGGAGCTGAGGCCCAGACGCTGCAGAGAGCACACTGGCCGGTGGATCAGAGTCTGGCTTTCTGAAAGTGGAAACCTTGCCAGATGGACTCAGGTGCTGCTGACCTGAGGAGGCTGCACTCCACTGGCATTCATAGCGCTGCAAGCAGTCAGGGAGTAATCTCGGGAGCCGGTCCCTGCTTCCTCTTCCGACATAGTCGTCTCCCTCTCACGCCTTCTCCTGTCGCTAGGGTCTAATAGGAAACCAGCTAACCAAGGAGAAGTGAGGTGTTAAGAGCCCCAGCTCCTGCACCCAAAGCAGAATACAGAAGGGTGGGTTTGGAAGTAATACTCAGTAAGCTCCTAATTGGCACAATTAGGTCATTCAGATTTT